AAATTCGTCACTTATTTGCGTTTTTGAAGATAATCTGGACTGGCTTTCATGTCCATAGTGTGTTCACTTAAAGCATGGTCATCTAGATTTTTGTAACCCAGGGCAGTGATGATTCCCCACCTCCATGACGAGAAATTGTCCGTGTCAAGTTTCTCTGTAACTAATTTAACAGAAGATGCGTCAAATTTGGACAGGATTGTGGGTTCGGATGATTTAGATAATAGGGGTAAGTGGGTATGGGTTGGAGGAAAGATTCCGCTGCTATCCTGCTCAAAGGCTGGGCTCATAACCTGAGAAAAGCCAGACGAGCGCAGATGAGCAAGGAGGAACAGAGAATAGGGAGATGGGACGATGAGCAGATGAGGATTCATCTGAGAAAAGCCAGACAAGCGCAGATGAGCGAGGAGGAACAGAGAATGGGGAGATGGGATGACGAGCAGATGAATACAGGGTATTCACCTGAGAGAAGCAAAAAAAGAGAGGATGAGGAAAAAAAAGAAAGATAACAACAGTGGTACAACTATGACTAAATACACAAGATGAAGGGAAACCTGATCTAGTGATGAATAAAGTTGGACCACCAGTTGACACACTCCCTCTCACGTGGCAGATGTTGCGCCACAGTCATTCCGTATTGTCACAAAACAGTATGTATATACAGAAAGTGTTTTTCTGGAATTTTCTGGAGAGTACAAAATGTAAAGGATGATAGTTGTAAGATAAAAAAAAATCATTTTTTGGAAAGTGAAAAATGCAGCCCTTGTGATTATGCATACCTTGTGATTATGCATACCTTGTGATTATGCAGAATTGGTACAAAGCGGTCCTGAAGCAACATTGGCGGGTTCAATGGGAATTTGAATCCAATCCATTCAAGTACACCACTCACAATGACAGATTGGAAGATTCTCAAGACAAAGACACAGAGGTGGTTTATGATTGTGAATTCGCATTTTTTATAACCCCTAATTCTGAAGAATAAGGGTATTAGAGCTCATGAAAATATGGATTAATTTTGATTATACAGATATTATCTCAATGGCTGGGAATCATTTCCAAACAAAGCTAGACGCATACTTGATAAATTTCCATAGATTCTTCAAGGCTTGTCTAAGCTCCCCCATCTCTCTCTCTCTTTCTTCCTCTTCTGATAAATAGAGTTCAGGATTGACATAGAAGAACCTGAACCATGTTGAAATTGCCATCCTTGAATACTCTGAAAAAGGTCCACTAGGAATCCTTTTATATTTATTCAGCTCTTCTTTTGAAGGTGCCATAAGAAGTGGAATATTTGGTATCTGATTCAAGTTGAGGCCAAGGTCACACCACATTAACTCAACACCCCATATATTTTTTTTTTCAATTTTGACAGACAATATCCTTGACATAAAAACATTAATACTGAGCTCCCTTAATCTGTCTTGGTACAAACCACCAAAGGCATTGTGGAGCCAGGCACGCTCAGGCGATTCCATCCAGGGAAGAGTTCCAGGTTCTGTCATGACCTCCAAAATTGTTGAAAATGCTTTTTCTATTGGAGGTCTCCCAGGATAGTCTAAGAAAAAATAATCAGAGCCAAATTGCAGTGCTTCTCCAACTTTCAAAACTTTCTCAATGTTGATTCCAAATTTCCTACTTGCTTCTTCAATTCCCCATGATTTCCACCATTCAACTACTGGTGGGTGTAATTCATTAATAAGAAATTGAATGAATTTGGCATGTTTTTTTGCCTCAATCTTCCCATAAATATTTGATAATTGAAGGTTTCTGTCTTTTATTCCTAGCCTTGAACCTAATATAGTTGACAAACCAGGAGGGCATGGAACTTCAGAAATTTTCTCAGGGTCTTCTGAAATTCCATAAAGCCTCTCAAGATATCTGGCTTGGATCATGTTTTTTATTCCTGCCCTTTTTGAATTCAGCTTTAAGGCTTTCCATTTTGCTGAGATTGTATGATGATTCAAGTAATTTGCAAAAGCTTGCAACCTTCTAGTTGCCTCTTCTTTCCCCAGTATTCTATAAATGGAAGAAATAATTTTAGATAAGCTATGTTTATCAAGGTCTCCAAATCTTTCATATAGGTCCACCTTGTGGAATATTGGTGAAATTCCAAAGTGTTGTGTCCTATTGTGTAGGTTTAGAATCAAAGCTAATTGGGACATTAATTTAATGTCTAGTTTTTCTTCTCCCCAGGATAAAACATTCTCCTCCCCCCAAAGTTCAAAGAACTTTTTTATGGTTACTTCAGAATATATTCTCAAATGTGGCCTTTCAAACGTTTCTGAACCAGGAATAACTTTCACATCCTTATAAGCAAACAGTATTTTGCTTTGAATTTTCCTCTTTATGTCTGGTTCCACATTGAGAGGTCCCATGATAGATACAAAAGAGCCACCCCCTGTCCTTGATTTGTAAGCTTCCTTTGCTTTTTGGTATTCAGAATACAATTGGTTTTCTTGGGAGTTATAATCCACTTTGAATCTCATTTTGGCTGTGCAGGCAGGCTTCTGGGGTTCAGGGAATTTCATTCCTTCAATAAGACTAAGAATTTGCTCCTCATGAGCAGTAATTTCTTTCTTATTGGAAGGTTGAGAGATGGATATTGGTGAGTTCCCTGTGATTTCTATTTCCTTCTCTTTTCCATTTTCTTTTTGTAGCTTATTCATTTCAATTTCTGTTTTAATCAAAGATGGTGCAATTTTAACCTTGGAACTGTTTGAACAATCCCCTTTTTCTTCAATAAGACGAAGAATTCGCTCCTCATGATCAGTAATTTTTTTCTTATTGGAAGGTTGAGAGATGGCTATTGGTGAGTTCCCAATGATTGCTACTTCCTTCTCTTTTCCATTTTCTTTATTTAGCTTTTTCATTTCAATTTCTGTTTTAATCAAAGATGATGCAATTTTAACCTTGGAACTGTTTGAATGATCCTGTTTTTGATAAAACCGATTAGTTTCAATCCTTGTATATGAATTCTGGGAGATTCTTTCCACTTCTTTTTCTTGATTTCTAGCATTGGAATTCAAGTTTACGTGTATTTGTTTTACTGGGACAATTTCTTCTGGACTTCTATTGTCTGGAGTTTCTTGGGTCAAATTTTCTGTTGAAGGGGGTTTCTCAACCTGGGAATGATTAGTGTTCTTGTCAACATCACCGTATAGAACCTTCCATTTTCCTTTTCTTTTCAATGCTGATAGCTGCTCTGTATTAAGGGAAACCCGTTTGGGGCCTGAGCTCTTGGCTTTCAAAACCTTGTGCTTTTTTGTGTTATTTGCATACAGACTTGAATCATTTTGACAATTGCTTGATGAGGAGGAGGGTTTTTCTGATTTCAATATGGGTTCCTGCAGGGGATCCGGTTTCTTTCCCTTATTTTTACTCATTTCAATTGTTCTACTTGGATCAACATTGAGCCCAGTTTCAGAAATAGTGCTTCTTGGAGAGGAGGAATCTTTTTGAATGAACTTTTTATTTGAATTCTCCGGTTTGGTTTCATCATCAACTGATCCTAAACTCTTACCAGGTTGATTATATGTTGCCTTCTTCTTTGCATTGTCGAGCAAATTTTTCTTTTTTTTTTTACTTTCCAGGTCAGTTGCAGATTTGTCAAAAGGAACTGGAAGTTTTTCTTCTTCCAGTGGGTCAACTGCTTCGGGAATTTGAAGCTTCGGGTGCTGGGAAAGAGAAGATTCTCCTTGTTCAATTTTTCCAGCCGTTCGCGCACCACTCATACCTTTCTGACTGAAAAAATTAGATTGGTCTTGTGGATTCAGGCGGCAGCTCGATTGAGCCTTGGATTGCAGAGTGGCAAGCGCTTTCGTTGGATGAAGTTGCTGTAACTGTGGATGAACCCGACTTGATCCGCGCTTATTGTCGAAAACGTCTCCTTCAGAGGTTTCTTCGTCGACCTTGGTTATAATCCGGGACTGCTTTTGTTTTGAAAAAAAAAAAGATCAAGCCAAAGAACAGGGAGACAAATTTGAGCAATAATATTGTTTGTTAGATGCACCGCTTCAATGCGCTAAAAACTCCGCAAAGTACTCAAAATTCAGTAGACAACGAACCTGAAAGACTTGTGTCTGATCTGAAGTTTCCGAAATTGGAATATTCGACAATTTTCCCTCCTTGAGGAGGAATAGTTTTCCCTTCCCAGACCCCGTCGCTTCACGGCGTCGACTCCCAGTACTGAGAGGAGTTCTGGTGGATTTTCCTTTGCTGCTTGATGGGATGTTTGGGTTTGAAGTAACTCCATTTGGAAGAGCATCCATATCGAGCAATTCAGACAGATACCGATCAAATGGAGCGACCTCTAAGTTTTGGTCCTCGTCGTGCCGTTTAGATGCCGTTGGGAGTCGAGGGTCATTGCCAGTGCTACCAATGGTCTGCTTACATAACATGCATCGTTCGTCAACCAAGCTCATCTGTTCACGAAGCTAAATACCTCATTAATCTTTTCACTTACCCCCCTTGTCAGGCTTTGTACGGGCCTTGGATCAAGAGCCCCGAGCTCAGACCCGCATAGATTGTTCCATGGACTACGGTCATAATCGTTCATCATAGAGACAGAGGGTGCGAACAGATCTCCCGGTTGAATAAGTACACTAGGCCATATTTGAGGTATGTCTCGGTGATATTGCGACTGGCGGTGATGATGAGATACTGGTTTACTTTCCCTTGGATTTACTTGCTCACTCGAGTCTGAGGTTAATGCCCAAGCCGGACAGGCCACATGAGCTATACCAGAGTCAGACCACGCTTGATCTTGGGCTTGGGAGACATGAGATGCGACTTGATGTGTCATAGCCATGCTGGTAGACGCAAGCAGGAGGTTTTTGGCAGCCACCATCAGCCATACTACTCTGAATGATTTCAGACAGAATGAACGGCACATTTTGCCAATACGATGGGGCATTGGAAAAATCGATGCAGTAGTATTTGGACAATGATGTAGAAAGACGCGGATGGCAACAAGATTATAATGATCAAGTGACAAGGAAGGTGGTGTACTGTGGGATTTGAACCCACAACCTTAGCATGCATGAGCGATGCTCTAACCTATGCGCTAAGTTCGCATTGCTAATGTGTTGGTTTGTGGAGTACATTAGTTATGTACAGCTTGTGTGTGGTGTTTTACCTCCAATCCTGTTAGGAAGTCTCACATGGATGTGTTAGCAAATATGTGTCAAGCAGTCTAGTTTGACAGTTCAACAGATTAAATATCAGTTCACTACCTCCCAGCGCAGCCATGCAGTGCGCTGCCTCGGTCCAACATGTTTGAATGACGATAACGTTCATGCGTAACAATCTGTAAGGAGCAAAAACGGTAACACTGTCGTGTCCCGGCAATCGCGGTTAGCTCGCTATGCTATCCCG